GGGGGCAATTTTGGGGGAGGAGAGGTTTCACACCTGAGGGGGAATTTGAGGGGGGGGGGAGATGAAGCTTAAAAAAGGCAAATATTTCGGGCGAGGGGGCGAATTGGGCAGTGGGGGGGGCGTCACGGTGTGAGGGGGGTAATTAAGAGGCGACATAATGGAGAAAGTAATTAACGGGGAGGAATAAATGTTCCCCTCCCCCTCAAATTGACTCCTCCCCAATTGTCACACCCCCCGCCGTGAGGGGGGGTAATTAACTCTTTGGGGTAATTGCGGTACGGGGGGGCGGGGTGTAATTAAACATTCGGGGTGGGGGGGGGCCGTGTCAAGCCCTTGGGGTATTTGGGGGGTTTGGGGTGGAGGGGTCAGCGGTGACCCTGGAAATTTGGGAAATTGCCCCACGCGTGACCCCCCGTGTCCCCCCAGGACAGGCAGCGGGGGACGCATGGCAGGCCTGGGCGATGGGTGCGCTGAGAAGTGTCGCGGGGGGGAGGATACAGCGGGCACCGCCGGGGGTGGGGGGGGGGGGTCCCCGCCGCGGGCCCCCCCGGGCCCCCCCGCGCTGCAGCCGCGCTGGAAGCGAGTGGTGGGCTGGGCTGGGCCAGTGCCCCGGCCCCGGCACGGCCACCGAGCCGTGGCCATCAAGGAGCTCATCGTGGTCTTCGGGGGGGGCAACGAGGGCATCGTGGACGAGCTGCACGTGTACAACACAGGTGGGGCTGGGGGGCACCTTGGGGGTCCTTTGGGGCGCTGGGGGGGTCTCCACAGGTATGGGGTTGGGGAGGAGCTGCAGGTTTTCAACACTGGGGGGTCGTGGGGGGTTCTGTGGGACCCCATTCCCCCCTTGGTCACGGCCGTGTCCCCCCCTTTGGGGCGCCCACCGAGCAGTGGTACAGCCCGGCAGTGCGGGGCGTTCCTGTGTCCCCCTGCCCAGTCAGCAGCCAATGGTTCATCCCACCAGTTTGGGGGGGTCATTGTCCCCGTCCCCATTTTGTCCCCAATGCCACCAACCAGTGCCTGACCCTGGGGGTTCAGGGGTGTCATTCTCAGCATGTCCCCGTCCCCATTTTGTCCCCAACAGCCACCAACCAGTGCCT